AGCCACTGACTGACCTGGATGATGAACTACTTGGATTTGATAGTTCCTTACATCTTGAATATGGTTTCAACAGAAACTGACTACCTTCTGCTGCTGAAGACAAGATCCCCAGTGCTAAATCTCTGATTAAACCTTGCATTTTGATGGAATCACCATCTTTTGTGACTTCCAATTCCAACAGAGATTTACGCACCAGAACATCTATAATATCATGTCCCCTTTTATGTGCATCAGCCTGAGGCCCAATGATTATACTTTCTTTGATACAATAATCTATGAAATTGGAAATACCAACCTCTCGGTCTTCTGTAAACAAAGCACAATGAAGGAAACAACTCTTTACATCATGATCCTTTAGTTGGTCAAAGCTGAATTTTAATCGTTGGATTGCATCCTCAATTTGAAATACTCTAGCAGTTTTAGGCTGGGAAAATTTCCTGGACGCATGCTTCCACACGCAAACATCATTTTCTTCAGCTAAGGTCCTTCCAGCAACTATAATCAGCAGTGGCAAACCCCCACAACCCTTGACTATAGCTTCGGCAAAGGGCTGGATTTCTCGTGAGGGAACAACTCTCCCTACCTGTTTGTAAAACAGTTTCCTGGCTTCCTTTCTAGAGATGGTTTTTACTTCAATCGCCTTAATCACATTCATGTTATGGCAAAGATCATGTTTTCTGGATGTCATTAGTATCTTGCAGCCATTTTCAGAGGTGGGATCAGGTATACCCACGGCCTTTAAATCAATCTGCTCCCAAACATCATCCAGAACCAACAAAAACTTTTTCCGTTTCAGAGTTTGGAATATATTTTCCGCAACTTGAGTATCGCTGTCAGTATTTCCATAGCACAATGATAACCGTCTTAAAACACCATTTTGGATTTTTCTTAGACTCCAATATCTTGAGACGGTCACCAAAATAATCACATGAAACATGCTTTTCGTTTTCAAGTGACTGACCAAGGCTTTCAGCACAGTAGTCTTTCCAACCCCACCAATTCCATGAACACCAATTCTTGTTGCTTTAACATCATTTATGTAACTCAAGATCTTCCGCACTATTTTCTTAATTGATTTCTTGTCTTCTACACCGGATTTCTGCAATAATTCACCTTCCATTGAAATTTCATGTTCCTTTATACTTGTTGTGCTTAAATTGTTGGCTGCTATGAAGGGTGTAGGCCTAACCAATTTCTTGGCACTTGCATTTGATCCAGCCTTCAGCTGATTTACTCTTTCACTTTGAAAATGTAACCCCCCAGTTTCAAGATAAGTAATCTGACTTGTATCACCTTCTTCCACAATCTCCCTGCTCATTGCAGGAACCTGATCCACTTCTTCCACAATCTCCGTNTCTTAAAACACCATTTTGGATTTTTCTTAGACTCCAATATCTTGAGACGGTCACCAAAATAATCACATCAAACATGCTTTTCGTTTTCAAGTGACTGACCAAGGCTTTCAGCACAGTAGTCTTTCCAACACCACCAATTCCATGAACACCAATTCTTGTTGCTTTAACATCATTTATGTAACTCAAGATCTTCCGCACTATTTTCTTAATTGATTTCTTGTCTTCTACACCGGATTTCTGCAATAATTCACCTTCCATTGAAATTTCATGTTCCTTTGTACTTGTTGTGCTTAAATTTTTGGCTGCTATCAAGGGCGTAGGCCTAACCAATTTCTTGGCACTTGCATTTGATCCAGCCTTCAGCTGATTTACTCTTTCACTTTGAAAATGTAACCCCCCAGTTTCAAGATAAGTAATCTGACTTGTATCACCTTCTTCCACAATCTCCCTGCTCATTGCAGGAAGCTGATCCTCTTCTTCCACAATCTCCGTGCTTAATGCAGGAACCTGATCCACTTCTTCCACAATCTCCGTGCTTAATGCAGGAACCTGATCCACTTCTTCCACAATCTCCGTGCTTAATGCAGGAACCTGATCCGCTTCTTCCACAATCTCCGTGCTTAATACAGTGCTGTCATCCTCTTCTTCCACAATTTCTGGGCTTAATGCAGGAACATAATCCGCAGCTAAAGGAGATTTTATATTTGCAGAAGTTACTGTCTCGCTTTCAACTTCAAAACCATCAGAAGTCATCCCGTCTTTGCTTGAAGAAACTGGAAGTCTTTGTGGTTCACTCGTCACCACAGATTCTAGAGCCACATGTCCCAGATCTTTTTCACGTCCAACCAATCGACTGTACACAAAATCACAATAATCAATTTTTCGAAAGCTTAAGCAACATAACAAGATTTTTTTTTTTTTTTTTTTTTTTTTTTTTTTAACCAACTCTTCCTCTTGGCGTTTAGAAAAATACTTTTTGAATCCCCTATGAAAAGAGAGAGTCGAGTAAAATAAACCTGCTTGGCTTAATTTCCAACGAATCCGCAGGAGGAATTGCAGGGACAAGTTTGGGAAGCCAATCCAAGTACTGAACCAACAGTCCGCGAATTCTCCTCTCCTCTTGCTCGATTTTCGATTTAGATTTTTCCGATTGCTCCCAGTCATCGAACAATTCATCGACCTGGTAGAGGATCTCTTCAAGACCGGAATAATTGTGGTAGGATCTAAAGCTTTCGTGATTCCGAAGAAAAGACTGTGCTTCAGCTAACTTGAGACGCAGCTGTTTCCGGTGTGTGTTGTTCCTGAAAGCGTTGGCGTGGGAGTCCAGTCTGTCGCACTCCACATCCAAGAAAGACGCCAGTCTATCAGCCATTGATGTGCCTTAAGGACTTGCAATTTTTGAAGACGAATGTAAAGAAGAAATCAGGAAAGATATTGACTTCAGGGCTTCAATTGAAGGAATAACTCGATACCACATACTCTCTTTGATTAGGTCCTTGTGTGGGAATAAAGCCTGTGGGCCGTCTCCCCCAGGAGAGAAGGGGTGTACTACTGTACGTTCCATTAATGTGCATCATCCATTCTATTAAGAGATAATTTCTTTTTCAACCTTATAGTTTCAGTTAAATTTTTTAGTCCAATCTTTTCAGATATTTTTTTGTTTTGGTCTTTTTAATTTCAAATTACTACTGTTTTAATCTTTTGACTTCGTAAAAGACTACTTGATTGTTAAATATGTATTGAAATGACAAAAATACCCCTGTTAGGAGAAAAATAAAAAATTCCATACACAAACAACACTAAATTAAAAATAAATAAAAAAACACATTAACCACTACACATTTGAATTAAATAAACACATTATGCATTACAAATTCAATATATTTATTTAATTTTGATTCACTAATGTGTAACGTCTTTATTTATTTCAATTTACAATGTTTAATGTGTTTTTTTAATTTTTTTTATAATTTGTTTATGTAATTTAGTTTTGTAATGCATAATGCATATATATATATATATATTTTAAAAAAATGCATTTCTATACAAATGTTCAATAAAATTTTATTGACTTTTAAAGATGGGTATTTTTGTCGTTTCATTATAATTTTAGAGATTAATTAACATTTAATTAAGTCAAAGGATTACAACAATATTAATTTGAAATGAAAAGACCAAAATAGCAAATAACCAGCCCAAAAATAATCCCAAACAGTATCAACCAAACAATTTCAGAAAGGAAAACTAGAACGATATCTGGCCAAAAACTTCAACAATCAATTCCCAAAAATATTGAAACCCCAAACCACCCCAGAAGGCCATATCTACGTCTGGCCTTTTTCGGCCTCGAAGGCCAGATCTGGCCGAAAAATGCTAAATCGACGTGTTACGACACAGATCTGATGGGTCTGTATCGTAACACAATTGTTCGGCAAGATTCAGGCCTCGACGGCCAGATCTGGCCCTTTCCAGCCAGATCAGTCATGGATCTTGTCGAAAAATGTCTGATCTACGCATTACGAGCCAGATTCCGATGGTGGTGGCCGGAATCTGGCATTGCGGGTGGCGGGGGTGTTTTTGTTATTTTATAAACTTTTTATGTATTGGGGTATTTAGTCAAATTAGCAAACCTAGTGGTTTTTTTTAAAATTTTTAAATTTATAAAAAACTAAAATATTAAACTTTCAAGGGCATTTTAGTCTTTTCACTATTATCAAATGAATATCACTAACAGAACATGACAGAAGGTACCTATTTGTCATTTCAAAACCTTTTAGGTACTAACTTGTCGTTTCGACGAACCATGGGTATGCGTAAGTCGTTTAGCCTCCTATAAATTGGCAATTTACCATTTTTCAGAACGAAATTTTCTAACAGTACATAACATTGGGTGGGAAGATGTCGTTTTAAAACTTGTCGAAAGGGAAAGTGTCGTTTGCCCAAACCTTGGGTGGGAACAAGTTATTCTCTCTTTTGTAAACATTGTATTCCTTTGATTCTATAATGGAAACATTTACCTTACCACTTCCCTGGGTGTAATCTAATTAGGTTAATCATATATATCTTGTGTTCGATTAAATACCTTAAATTTTCTTTTGTATTGTTAAGTTGTTGGGTATTTTCCTGTTACATCAATTTTATAAACGATAAAAATTAGATTTCATTTCTAATTTTTAAATGCATTTAATTGTATAAGTTCGAAAATTGCGTCAAATTTTGTGTAAAAAAATAAAAAAAAATGTAACTTATCATTTTATTGCATATACTTAGGCTCAAAGTACCCAATTTTGTAGCTTGACTTGACGGAGGCTTTGCTTCACCAAATGGGCCTAGCCTGAGTGAGGGTAATTTGAGCCTGGAGGCGTGGCTTGAGTCCACATGTGATTTTGCAGACACAAAAACCATATTTCAATTATTGTTTCCTTAATGTTTTAATGATTTTAGTGTTCAATAATTCATGTTTATCATTATTTTATTGATCAAGATCAATCATCATGCGAATTATTAATCATGACATGAGTAACATGAGTCGAAAAATTGGGTATATTTGTCACTTTTGGAAATTTTAATTGGTTTGGAGTTTTGTCGATTTAAGTCAAACTGAGCTCAATTTTTATCAATCTCAAATTTTTAAGATAAGAAGGTTTATGGCATGCTACCGAAGCAAGTACCGTTCAGAATTAAATTCTGTAACCAAACTCTAATTACGGGAACTTCATCTCCTAAGCTTGCCATTTATGTTGACTGAGCCAACTCAGTGGCCACATCAGAAGAGATCAGCTCATATTTCTTCCAGATTTGTGTTCATATCTGAAAGACTTGTTAAATAGGTACGAGTTGTTTAAATAGTTTGAAATTTTCAGATCAATTCTAGTTTACTTGTTGTGATCTGTGCTTTATTTTTACGACTTTGGAAGAAAGACTGAAAATGGTGGAGAGAGTTGTCTCTGCTGTTGAGAAAGTTTCGGATTGCTTGTCAAATCCGTTTAGTTACCTTCTAAATTACAAGAGCAATTTTGAGAATCTCAAGAATGAAATTGACAACCTGGTAAATGCTAGAGAGTATATGCAGCATAGGGTTGATGATGCTAAAAGAGAGGGGGAAGTGATTGAAAAGGTTGTTGAGAAATGGCTGAGAAGTGTGGATGAGGTCATAGACGAGGCTGGTAAGATTGTTAGGGATGGTGAGAACTTGAAGGACCAGAATTTCAAGGGGTTGTGTTCTGATGTGGTGACCCGCTGTAAGCTCAGCAAGAAAGCGGCGAGGAAGCTAAAGGCTGCTGTTGTACTCCAGGAAGTAGGAAAATTTAAAAAGGTTTCGTTCAGAACCATTCCACAGGAGATGTGGATAACATCTACGAGAGATTATGAGGCCTTCGAATCGAGAATGTCTAGCTTGAATGATATATTGAAAGCACTAACTGATCCCAGTGTCCATATGATTGGTGTATATGGAATGGCTGGTGTAGGCAAGACCATAGTGGTGAAGGAAGTTGCTAAGCAAGCCAAGAAAGGAAAGCTGTTTGATGAGGTGGTTTTAGCAGACGTATCTGAGACTCCAGACATAAAGAAGATTCAAGAAGAAATAGCAGATAAGCTCTGTTTCCGGTTTTCTGCAAAGAGTGAGTGTGGAAGAGCAAGGATGTTGTGTGAACGATTGAGGGAAGAGAAGAAGATACTTGTGATATTAGATAATATTTGGGCAAGTCTTGATATGGAGAAGGTAGGAATTCCTTTTGGAGATGATCAAGGGGGATGTAAAGTATTGTTGACATCAAGAAATTATGATGTATTATCAAGTAAGATGGGCTCTCAAAATAATTACTTGATTGACATTTTAAATGAAGAAGAAGCTTGGAGGCTATTTAAAAAGATGGGAGGTGATTGTGTTGAAAACCGTGAGTTGCAATCTTTAGCAACGGATGTGGTCAAGGCATGCCGAGGTTTGCCTATTGCCATTGTTACAATTGCAAAGGCATTGAGAGACAAGAGTGTATTTGCATGGGAGAATGCCTTGCAACGTTTGAGAAGTCCTTCCTCGAGCAATTTCACAGGAATGCAGGCAGTGTTTCATTCAAGTATAGAGTTGAGCTACAATCATCTAGAAGGTGAGGAACTTAAGTCAACTTTTTTGCTGTGCAGTCTAATGAAAGATTCTTATGATATTCCTATTATGGACTTGTTGAAATATGGAATGGGTTTGGGTTTATTTAAAGGCATCAATACAGTGGAAGAAACACGAGTGAGAGTATATACACTGGTCCATGAACTCAAAAGTTGTTGTTTGTTGCTTAATGGTCATACCAGTGAATATTTTTCTATGCATGATATTGTTCGTCATGTTGCCATATCAATCGCATCAAGAGATCAAAATGTATTTGCATTAAGAAATGAGGTTATTCCGAGGGATTGGCCCGATGGGGATGCACTAAAAACTTGCACTGCAATCTCTATACATGAGAGTAATATTACTGGGATCCCTAAAAGATTGGATTATCCACTACTTAAATTTTTCTATATGAATGTCAGGGATCCTTTTTTCAAAACCCCTAACAATTTTTACATAAAGATGCCAGAGCTAAGAGTTCTAAATTTGACTAGAATGCACTTATTGTCAGTGCAGTGGCCATTTTTTCTCCTAGTAAACCTTCGAACATTATATTTGGATCATTGCATATTGGGAAAAATAGCCGTTATTGGAGAACTGAAGAAACTAGAAATCCTTAGCTTTGTCTATTCTGATATTGAGCAGTTGCCTGGAGAAATAGGTCAATTGACTAGGCTCAAGTTGTTAGATTTGAGCAATTGTTCAAAATTAAAAGTTATTTCACCCAATGTGATAGCTAGCTTATCCCAGTTAGAAGAACTGTATATAGGTAATAGCTTTGTTGACTGGGAGTTTGAAAGGCGCACATTTGAAAGAAGTAATGCTAGCCTCCATGAGTTGAAGCATTTGTCTCACCTAACCACTTTGGAAATACATATAGAAGATGCCAAGATCCTTCCAAAGGGCTTGTTCTTTGAAAAGCTAACTAGGTACAAAATATTCATTGGAGATGAATGGGACTGGTCTGGTAAGTATGAATTTTCAAGAACTTTGAAACTCAAGCTCAATAACAACATTTGCCTAGAAAGTGAGATAATCATGCTGTTGAAGAGAGTTGAAGGCTTATACTTGGATGAAGTTCAGGGTGTCAAGAATGTTCTTTATGAACTACATGAGGAAGGTTTTCCCCAATTGAGGCATCTCAAGGTCCAAAACAATCCTCACTTGCTGTGTCTTGTTGATTCAACGAATTGGGTACCTCGTGATGCCTTCCCAGTATTGGAGTCACTGTTCCTGCATAATTTGATTAACTTGGTAAAGATATGTCATGGTCAACTTGCAGCAGCATCTTTCTGTCAATTAAGGATCATAAAAGTGAGAAATTGTGATGAATTAAAAAATATCTTCTCAATCTCCATTGTGAGATACCTTCAACAACTTCAAAAAGTCGACGTGATCAAATGCAAGAATATTGAAGAAATTTTCACAGTTGGAAGAGATGATGATGTCAACCACAGTGAAGTGATTGATAAGATTGAGTTTGGACATCTACGCTCCTTGACTCTAAAATTTCTTCCACAGCTTACAAGCTTCTACTCAAAAGTGAAGACAGCCAACACAGGGTCCAATGAAATCACTCTGGAGGATGAGGTTTCCATACAAATTTTTAACGATAAGGTAGGTTGACTGTAAACTTCTTGTTTATCTGTTTATCCTTATTTCTTATTCTCATTTGTTAAAATATATATGAAATTGAATGTCTCAAATAAAAGAAAAAAATAATTTCACACTCTCTAAGCCCATAATATATAATGATTTCTGTTACATCTTTAGGTTCCCTTTTGAGGGTTGATATTCTGTGTTGTTCACTCCTAACCTTATGGCATGTCTGTGTGTCTGTAACCAAAATATCTTATTTCTATTTTTGCATGAAGAGACTGAAACAAGAACTTTGTTTGCAGGTTGTGATGCCTAACTTGGAGGTTTTGGAACTTCATGCTATTAATTGTGAAAGGATTTGGCACAACCGACTTGTAGATCTGCCTTGTGTTCAAAATTTGATGCGCTTGATTGTCTGGGGCTGTGATAAATTAAAATATCTATTTCCATTTTCTATAGCTAACAATTTTGTCCAGCTTCAACACCTTGAGATATGTCACTGCCCGGTCTTGGAGGACATTATTGCTGAGGATGGCGGAGGAAAAGCAGCTGTTAGGCTACTCTTTCCACGGGTAACCTTTCTGAAGCTCCAGAACCTATCAGAACTTAAAACTTTTTATCCTGGAATACATACTTCAGAATGGCCCTTGTTAAAGAGATTGGAGGTAAGCGGTTGTGACAAAGTAACTATATTCACTTCAGAATTGTTTGGCTTAAAGGAAATTAATGAGGAGCACCTCAATATCCAAGCGGAACATGCCCTCTTCTTGGTTGCAAAGGTAATAGATCCATTTCTTTATGATTACTATTATTTTATTACTATTTTGAAAACCTTGAGAGAAATAAAGTGAATCTGTAGCACCTTTTTGTTGAGTAATTTATCTTTTCTGTGCCGCATTTGAGTTATCTAAAGTTCTAATCTAGCGACTCCGGTGAGGCAGGTTCATTATCATTTTATATGAAAATTCTGTAGATTACGGGTTAATGGCTGTGTCAGCTTCAGGTTAAATACATGTTAACCTTAACTAGAGAAACTAGTTTGCATTCGATATAGAAGTGGTCAACAAGAGTGTTTGGTTGAGATCAATGATCATTTCAAAAACTCAATCTGATCCAATGTGATCAATTTGTTTAATTTTCAATTCTAATGCTAGATCATTTGAGTTAATTTTTTGGTTATTTCTGTTCAGGTTGTCTCCAGCTTGGAGGCATTGAAATTAAGTGGAAAAGACATGAACAAGATATGGCATGTCCCATTTCCAGAATACCTTTTTGACAAACTTAAAATTCTTGAGGTAATGAATGATAACTCAGCAACTTTTCCACTTGAATTCCTTCCAAGGTTTCACAATCTGGAAAAAGTTGAATTCAGATGGTGTTCATACAAAGAGATATTCTCAAGTGGAAAGGTCAAAGAACATGCCAGAATGCTATCACAAATTAAAAGTTTAAAGCTGTGGGAACTTCCTAATCTGAAGTACATGTGGCAAGATGACTGCAAATTAGAGTGGGCTCTTCAAAATCTTGAAATTCTAGAAGTATGGTGGTGTGACAATTTGATTAACCTAGTGCCATCCTCAGCATCTTTCCAAAATCTGACAACTTTGGAAATTTGGAATTGCAAAGGATTGGAAAACTTGCTTGCACCATCCATGGCAAAAACTTTAGTGAGACTCGTAAAAATGAGTATTGATGGATGTGAACAGATGACAAAAGTAATAGCATGTGAGGAAGATGTAGCGGAAGATGAGATTATTTTTGGCAAATTAAAGTGCTTGTCCCTTGAACGTTTAGAGAGTCTCACAAGTTTTTGCTCTGGCAATTACGTCTTCAACTTTCCATCTTTGGAAGGTTTAGTTGTGATAGAATGTCCCAAGATGATGATTTTCTCTCAAGGTGCCTTAAGTGCACCAAAGTTACAAGTAGTACGACAAAATTGGGGACCTGATAAAGGGTGTTGGGAGAGTGACCTTAATACAACTATACAACAGTTACATAAAAAAGAGGTATGAATTACATTTCTTCTGATGTTTTTTCGTACTTTATTCTCTTAAGTTTAATAACATAAATTTAAGAATCACCATTGTAAATATCAACAATTCTCTGTCTCATGACCTCATTTTTTTATCTTTTTCTTTCTCGTGTGGTAAAACTGCATTGAGGCTGCAATTTTTATCTCACGCAAGTGTTGTAGCTTCTCAGATAATTCCAAAATAGTGCTTCTGATGTGGCACATCTAAACTAGTACCTTCCCTAATTTTCTTTGTCATTTGATCTAATAGCATTCCTTTATATAGGAACATATTTGATAAATGCCGATAACTCTCAGATAGAGTATTAGAATGGAAAAGTCCGCGAAATACTTTTCTTGCGTATTCTTGATAAACCTTGGTTTAGATATAGATGTAGGAGGATCCGTTTGGGAGGTAAGAGGCCTCTTTGTTAACAAATTAGAAGCCCTAGCCCTTCAATAAGTTGAACCAAAAGTTAAAAGTAAATGAATAAATAACTCAAAATCATCACCAAAAAAGCTAATTTTGACACATTGCATCTTGCTCCTTCTGTTCAAGTTAGATGGTGGGAGGGGCATGTAAACAAGCAACAAGTAGTTGAAAATTCTCATTTTCTTCCTGTTCAGTCACGGAGTTAATGGTCTTGAGTCTTCACTAACTAAAAACACACTAGAATTAGTCTTACACATTTCTTAACTGTTTCAGACACACACATGCACAAGCACACATTGAAACACACTCTCAACAAATATAAGTTTCTTCCCTTTCTAAAATCCTATATTCTTGATTTTTATTGTCAAAGATCTGTGATGAATCTGTTTCAAAAACCTGCCAAGAAAGAACAGAGGAGAGAAAGCAAAGCTTAAAAGGAGTAGCCTTAGACCCTTACACCAAGCTCAGCACCTCAGTTCCTTCTCAAGATGAGGTCTCGTCCAGGTTCCCAGCCATAAGTAGTCGGTTTACTGATGGAGGTCTGCTTGTTAACAGAGATGGTTATCGAATTGTCTATCAAAAGGAAAGTGGAGCTCCGCTACCTATTAAACCATTTGACAACCAGTTGAAATTGGAGGATATCGAACGAATTAGACTTGTTGGAGAGGGAAACGGCAGCATGGTGCACTTGGCGCAGCACAAATACACTGGCCAGTTTTTGGCTGTAAAGGTTGTTAAAGTGACACTTGAGGCGTCTTCACGGAAACAGCTTGCACAGATGTTGAAAATGATTCAATCATTACACTGTCCATATGTTGTGGTCTTTTATCAACTTTTTTACAATGAAGGTGCCATTTCAATCATTTTGGAGTATATGGATGGTGGATCTCTTGCGAATTTTCTGAAAAAGGTTAAATCAATTCCAGAAGTGTATTTAGCTGCCATCTTTAAGCAGGTGCTTAAGGGTTTATTGTTTCTCCATCATGAAAAGCACATCATCCATAGGGACTTAAAGCCTTCTAATTTATTGATAAATCATAGAGGGGAAGTCAAGATTTCTGATTTTAGTTTGAGTGCCACAGTGGCTTCCACAGCAGGACAGGCGAATACTTTTGTTGGCACATACAACTATATGTCTCCTGAAAGGATTTCAGGAGGCAATTATGGGCATAAAATTGACATTTGGAGCTTGGGAATTGTAATGCTCGAATGTGCAATTGGTCAATTCCCATATTCCCCACCAGAGCAAGAGGATGGGTGGTCAAGTTTTTATGAGCTTATGGAAGCCATTGTTGACCAACCACCTCCTTGTGCACCGCGGGATAAATTTTCTTCAGAGTTTTGCTCATTTATTTCTGCTTGCTTGCAAAAAGAACCTGGTGACCGACAGTCAGCACAGAAACTTTTGGCACATCCCTTTATGAACATGTATGACGATTCGGATGTAGATCTGTCCACTTACTTCACCAATCTAGGATCTCCACTTGCAACCTTTTGAAACTTACCTGTAATTCATTTTGGAGTTCACATTTGTGAACAACTAGCTTGAGACTAAAATCCAGAAATCTGGTGAAAGACTCCTTGTTGTTGCGGCTGAAGTAAAATAATCCTCTGAGCAGGACCGGCAGAAGCCGGTAATGCATCAAAGGTTTCCAAAGAAGCCTTGGAGTGTGAAGGTTCAGCTAATTATGCTAATCACGCTTTATAATTGCAAGGTGAAGGTATGTTTTAGTGTGTGTCAATCTGTGTAATCAACTAATTGCATGGTCTCAGAAATGGGAATTTAGCAAGTTAGACGATTGAACTTGAAAAAATTTGTTTAATTTCCCCGAAAGATTTTAGACTTTGTAGATGCTGGAGGTAGTGTTTCAATTTCAAAGACGGCTTATTATGTTTAATAAAGAAGTTAGATGGTGTGAGGTTGTTCTTATGCTTTTGATCATATTAGGTTGAATTGGTGGGAAAGTCCTAAAAATTATAATTAAAAGACATCTAGATCCAATATTTTGAAGTGAGTTTGTGCATAGTTTAAAGATGAACATAGTAAAATGGTAATAAATTCCAAATTTTAAAATTCCAGACTTGGATTTTGTGTTAGACTGTAGGATTTTTTTTGATCAAATCTTGCATTGTAATCTTAGCAAAAGAGTTTTGAGTGGTTGATTTTTCATTTATAATTAAAGAGTACTGCATATTTTAAATTTTATGTTAAATTTTTTATTTTAATGGTTTTTTTTTTTCTTTTTTTTGCGAGTAATCTTTTATGTCTCCTGAACTTTGACTTGATATTAAAAACAACATAAGGTATTGGTATTCATCATAAATTCTCCTTCTCCCATTAGTTGCCCTTAGGTTTTGTTTGTGTGGTGGATTTTAGGGTGATTGTAGATGGTTGATAATGAGTTTTGTCATGGTTGATGCATTGTTTTAAAAACCGGACCGGAGGGCAAACCGTTTTGATGGTCGGGTCACGGTTCAACCGGTTCAACCGGTTAGACCGCTAATTGAACCGGTGACATCATCACACATCATGATGACGTCAACACATTTTAAAAAAAACAAATTTTTTTTAGATTTCTATTTTTCAATAAGACAATAACAACTTAATTACTATCCAACATGATTCAAAGTTCAAATTCAACAACAATCTTAACACAATTTAAGTATTTAACAACAATTCAAAGTCCAAATCCAAACATTATGTTGTATTTACATATCAAATGACAAAATACATAACAATTAATAACAAAACATTGGATGCAAGTGTTTTTCTTTGATCCGCTCTATGTGATTGAGCTTACACACTAGCATCAAAATCATCATCATCCTACATCATCATCATCATCATAACCATCACCACCATCTACGTAAATTCAGTAAAAAATAGAAATCAAAGTTAAAACTTGTTAAGTTTCTGCTGTACTAAAAGTTTTAATATAAACCTTAATAAAGATTAAGAAAGCATCAGTAGACATAATAAGTTTGTCAAAGTCTAAAGCAGTAGTTAATTGTGTTTTATAAGTCTAAAGCAGTAGACATAATAAGATATGGGTCAAAAACTTCATGACACAAATAACCAAGGTTGAGAATTCCAAATCAGTAAGGAAGTAAACAGTTACAACATAATCAAAATAAGTCTACATTTTGATTAGAAAGGAAAACATAACAAAATATAGATTCATTCTATCAGGAAGGAGAAGAATAGTTCGGGACATAAACCAAAGTGAGTCATATTTGAAAGAGAAACCTAACAATATATAGGTTCACTTACAGGATTATATAGTACTTCTGAAACAAACCAAATACAAAGTTATTGAAACATAATAAAAAGAGTCATTTCCAACACAGAAACCAAACTTTAGTTCTAACAATTCTGCCATCCGAAGTAGTTTATGTCAGCCACAAAGTCATTAACAATTTCTTGCCATCCGAGATGATTTGATCATTTACATATTCATGGACCAATTAAATTCAATATACACATAGACATAATTAATTTGATTTTAGTTGAATTGTTTGATTGACATAATCAAATAAAACTGCAAACATAATCAAAATAAGTCGTACATTTGATTGATAAATTGTTCCTCTGTCTATAAGTTTCTGAATGAGATCTGAAATGCACAGGATAAGTTTGCAGTTCATCAGATTCTACTTAAAGGAGACACAGTAAAGTGTTGAAAAAATGTGTATTATAAATCGAAGAACACCCTCTCACAAATCTGCCCAGATTACAACAAGAAAGACCCCAGCAAAAAGCCCAAATCAATTGCTCATTCAACACAAAAGAACCCTAACAATTTCAGACTAAAAATGTAAGGGAGCGAGGAATGGCGTACCTGGATCGAGGAATGGAGCTATCGTCAACAAATGAAGCTATCGCCGTCGATTTCAGCGAGAACGGAGCTGCCGTCGTCGATTTCGGCGAAGGAGGAAGAGTCGTCGATTTCACAGAGTTCAAACGCGATTTGGGTGGGATTCAGAGAGAACAAAGACAGAGCTAAAACCGTTACAATCTTCGCAAAGAACTAAGAGTTTGTTTAGAAATTTTCGTGAGGAAAATGGAGAAAGAGAAGAACTGAAGATTGAAGATTGAAGAAGACGAAGGCACGAAAGAGGGGCGTGAGAAGAGAAGACTGAATCGGTTAAGGATTTAGGTTTTAGATGGACCGTTTTCTGCCGTCCGGTTGGACCGGCGGTTTAGTGATAAATCCGGTTTTTAACGGTTAAAGCGGTTAATGTTTATAAGGTTTTTGTGAGTGAACCGAAACGGACAGGTGACCGGTTCACGGTTCAACGGTTGAACCGGCCGGTCCGGTCCGGTTTTTAAAAAAGTGGGTTGATGGTGGATTTTGGGGCTGGTTTTGATGCGTGGTCTGGTGGGTTTTTTTGGCTGCCATCCTCATGAGCCAAGCTGGTGGCTTATCCACCATTAATCTTCTTACCTGCCCCATTCAATCCTTCAAAGGACATGCTCCCCAGTTATTTTCACAATTTCTTTGCCAAAGTTTTAACACAGAAGGAAATAGACATACTCCACACAAGAATCTGTGAGTTCCGAACTCAATCTTTGATTTTTCAATCCTTTCTACATCTTCAAGCCAAGTTTCGCATTCCGCGTCTTCTCCATCTCCGTTAGAGTTGGTTGATTTCCAGTTCTACTTCTACATTTCTCTTTTTAGCACAGAGATATTTATATTCATCTTTAGTGGTGTCAAAACTCTTCCTCAGATTTTTCACATACCCATATTTACTCTTCAAACAGCTGAATATTCCTTTGCTACACTAATGCCGGCATAACCAGTGGACCAGCTGCCTGACAGGCAGCTTGCATTAGTATTGCTGTCTACATCTGCAAATATAGCTCGGAAATGAATGTTTTGAAGAAAAAATTGTTATCAGACGACTAAAACTTAGTATTTGCTGGATAACAACAGAACAATTTGCCTTTCTTAAATGATTTAATCGAAATTTCTTAGGTGCAGACACAGACACTGTTATGTAATCTTCCTAAGTCTTTAACACACAAGAATAAAACGACAACAATACACAAATTTACCGTGGCTCACCTATCCAAGATTGGGTAGGCTATGTCCACGTTGAGCTCTGAAATCGGAAGAGCTCGTTGCACAAATCAATACATTCAAGAGTTTACAACACAGATTCGAAGATCAATCACTCAAAATACAACACAATCTTACCCATAATCCAACCTAGAGAACACTACCAGATTCTCGGGCTGGGTGGGGGGGTGGGGGTGGGGGGTCAAGGAGAGTCAGTTGACCCTCCTTGACTTTTCAAAATGATCAAATATGTGTGTGTGTAATTAACTTTTAAATTCATCAAATTAAATTCTTAGTTTTCACAAAAAAATCCCACAAATACATTTAATAAATTATGTAATGAATTATATATATATCATTTCCAAAATTTGTTTGTCAAATTAAACTACTGTCAATTGTTTTGTGTCTTAATACTTTTATATATATAAGGGCTAGCCTACAACCTACCCCCATGACCTCCCACTTAAATTACGAATGCTTAGATGGAGAATCGAACCTGAGACTGTATGCCTTTTCACACTATTTTCAATTTATTCTAACCATCTAGACTACCAACAGATATATCATATTAAAATATTGAATAGGAAAAAAAGATAAATATAAAAAATATGTATTTTGATGCATTATTTTAAGGAGTTGAAACATAAAAGTGAAATTACAATAAAAGTTATAATATTTTACTATAAAAACTAGATAAATCTTTGAATATTTTATTAGTAGAAATTTTATTGTAGTTTAACTTGGAGGTATCGTTATTTGTGTTGGCTTAATAACTTATTCATTAGGTAATTTTTCTTGGTTTTGTTGTACACTCGTTAAAGTATTATAAAAACATAATCATAAATATATTAATTATAAAGAGTATTATAAATAAATACTCATATTTTTGTATGACTCATATCCAATATACTATTTATTATAAGTTTATTTATAATTTTATTATTAAGTTTAATTAACATCTTGACCTCCCTTAGAATGAGTTTTTGGCTACACCCTTGCCAGATTCCCTAAGTGCTTACGAGCAAAACCCCTCTCACTTGAATGAAAACTAATCACTCACTCACCCAAGATTACAAACCTAACAGAACCGCTCTATTAGACATAAAGAACAACTCTGCAAAATTTTTCACTATTTGCTCCTTTATTTACTGTTGACCAAGGGTTGTTTTTCAGTTGTTGGATCTAAAGTTAGTCAACGACCAGGATTCACTTTAGCAGCTCCCAATACGACGTCACACAACTTAAGGCAAAACTACACCATTCCATGTCTTCAACTTAACAATCTCCAACTTGAGGACTTAAACAACCATCTTAGCAATCAGTAATCAGTGCAGCTCACTCAAATCCAAGTCCCTTATCGCTCTAATGCTCCAGCCTAGGTTACAAACAACAAATTCAAGCAGTGCTTGAATTTGACTGCTGTAACTACCTTAGTACCCATATCGGCTAGATTATCTTCTGTAGCAATCTTCATCAAATCAATTACACCTGAAGCCACTAGGTCCCTCACAACATGGTAGCGTACATCCACATGTGGGTTCTTTCATGGTAAACAGGATTTTTGCTCAAGTGGATCGCACTCTGGCAGTCTAAGTGTATTGTCACCTTTCCATCTGTCAGATTTGCCTCTGATAGGATTCCCTTTAACCATACTACCTCATTAAATGCATCTGCAACTGCAATGTACTCAGCTTCAGTCGATGAGAGAGCCACAATAAGTTGCAATTGCAATTTCCAACTTATGTAGTTTCCTCCAAGGGTAAAGTAGTAAAAGGTGGTGGATTTCCTTGTGTCTTTATCATATGCAAAGTCAGAATCTACAAAACCAACCAAATTAGTTGAAGTACTTCTTTTTCCATATTCTAATCCAACTCACAGAG